AGCTATAATTATTCATTTTGCATTTTATTAATAGCTGATAAAACATATGTAATGTTTAACAACTCAGTGTCTCATTATGTGGTTTCTTCAAGTCTCTGACCTTCATTTTCTTCTGAGAAAAAAACCATTATGTTGACCCTGCTTCAAGGCAGCTCAGGTGTATTCTGAGAATGTTTCCCTGCTATAAGCTGTTATAGACTTAGATCTTGCACTGTAAACCAATGTTAAAGAATTCCCATAAATACATTTAGATCCTCCACACTATATTCACCCTAGAGAAATCACTATACGAAACAAAGATACAACTGAGCACACCAGCTTTGAAAGTGAAAGTTGAAAATACCATGAAGGGATTTTCCTGTTTCCTGTGGCTGTTGTGTGTTGGAGTCTAGTGTGATGAAGGCCTGCTTCTGTGCTCTTAAGTGGGTCCTTTCACCTTCCTTTGTTGTTCTGGAATTCTTCTAGACTTGAACCAGCAGTGACTTCAATGTGTTCCAATGATTGGTTGGTAGCCAGAATTTTTAAAAGGCCCCTCGGTAATGACACAGAAATTAGAATTGGCGGCCTACACCTGGGACATAACTGTCCCATAATAAGGATGTTGTCGTTTAATTATGAGTTTTCTTATCCTGTCATTTATTGTGGGATCAATAAAATTGTGTTCCGGCCTACACCTGGGACATAACTGTCCCATAATAAGGATGCTGTCGTTTAATTATGAGTTTTCTTATCCTGTCATTTATTGTGGGATCAATAAAATTGTGTTCTAGGAGAAAGATGTTGTCATCTCAGATGAGTTATAGACCAACATTGGATATCACCTATGAATTTCAGGTGGTTTGCTTTGTAAAGAGGTTTAGATTTCCATCTCTGGTGCCTTTTGGAATGAATGGGTATGATGTCAATTCCTTGAGTGACAGCTCCCAGGGAAAAAAAGAAGGGCAATAGTCATCAGCTCCCTCAAAAAGTAAAATGTGTGAATGTAATTTTAGTAGTGCTACTAACAAACAACTATCCATGAATCACTGCATTAATAATGCCTGTATTGTGACTTCCCCTCTTCCCTAAAACACAGGAGCAAATGGCACATACTTGTCTGGGAGCCAGTTTCAATAATGCTGTTATTCTATCTGTCCAAAGATGGATAGCAATATCCATTAACTGTTTAAATATCTCTCGGAATTTTGGATACTATATATCTATAAAGTGATTTTTAAATGTTTTAATGAGTTAATTTTAAATGAAATTGCCATTCTGACTTTGTATGTGAAGTCACATTCATAATAAAGTTGATACCATATGAAAAAAAAAGTCTATGAAGGAAAAGCGTAGGTGGCTTGTAACATTGTAAAACCAGGGGCCCAACCCAGTCTGAGAGACTGGGGAAGGCTACCTTAAAGAAGTGATGTGTAAGCTGAAATCTGAATAATAAGAAAAAGTTATATTTGCCTAGTGTCCCAATACTAAAATAACATTATATTAGTATTAATTATTATCTTACAGACACTCATCTAAAGATGAAAAAAAAAATTTTCCTGCATTCTAACTAAGACATAGATAGAGTAATTATTAACTTTACATCAATAAAAGTACACTGAACCATATCCTAGAGATCAAAGTTCTATTTACAGGTAATAGCAAGAAAAGGGAAACTACAAAGTCCAAATTTTATCAAACAACCTAAAACTTTCGAAAGCAGCAGCTTGACAGCAAACATGAACTTTGTAATCATCGGACTTCAAACCAAAGCCCTGCTCTCCTGACAAACAACCAAATGGTATCAGGCAGGGTAACTATGTTACCTTATTCATTAATGGGGAACATAGTTATCTATTTAATATTTACCTCACAGAGTTGTGGTTTAAATTCATAATGTGTACCAAATGCCTGATACTCACTAGGCACTCAATAAGGGTTAATTTCCTCCCACTAAATAAAACCAAACAACAGATTTCTCTTAACTAATAATTTAAATAGCAAATAAGAATTAGAACAGTAATAAACTCTGTTATAAAAATCGATCTGTCAAAGATTCTCCATTGACAGATTCTTATCCTTTCCTTTCTCCCAGATAGAGATGGTGGGAGTGAAGTTCCTTTAGCTAGAAATTTAATTGAGTCCTACTAGGATGGAACTACAAAGTCTCTTATTGGAAACCAGAGAACTTTCATTAAAGAGTCAAGTGGCTCTTGCTGGCCCAAGAGAGAATGTCACTCAGCCTAGGGAGAATGACTTGTAAACTTGTGGAGGATGCATGGTGGCCGCCTGCTAATCATGTGGCAAGTAAAAGTGTCCTTACTTCCTCTCCTCAATACAGTTTTAGACCTCATATTCTCCAAGAATTACTGTTTATCCTTGGGGATACAGTTGTTATACACACATCATAAAATCAGTCTAAGAGTAAAAAAGAAGAAGAAACAGTAAAAAGGTGTGATTACTGTTAAAAAATAGCAGAAATTTCACCCAAGAGAACAAACATGGAGTACCCAGGCCCACCCTAGATCTGGGACCCCAAAGCTACTACCCCACAAATTGTTCTGTGGGAGATAGGTAGATCGATTCTGCTGCTCCAGTCCTGAAATACAAACAAAATCAACTATTAAAACCTGAGCTGCACAAAAAGTCTTCCCCAGGGAATCAGCAGCAAAGCAGCAATTTAGCTCAACCACAGGGCTCAAGTGCTGGTCCCCACAGGAAATTCACCCATTTTAGAAGAAAGCAAAGGACAACAAATTAGTTCCAGTGCAGAATTTAAGTGGTGGGAACAGCAAATAATCCAGCACGGAACTGAAAGAAAACACAAAACACCCACAGACCAGAGACAAGGTTTGATGTTAACTGGTAAAGGTCTAACACCCCCAAAGAACACCTATAAAACCTAGAAAGACCAGAAGCCCCCTGGGCCACCAAGCCTGGGAGAGGGGAGGGTCGAGGGCCTCAGCCATGCCCACCTGACATCCGCAACCAGCCCAGCAATGACCACCAAGCAGCCACAGGCAGTGCCATGGGCTCCTAAGCTGGGGTAGTGGGGTGCTGAGGGCTTCAGCCAGGCCCCTCTGACATCCACAACCATTGCAGCAATGACCTCCAAGCCACCACAGGAAGTGCCCTGGGCTCCTGAGCCACAGTCGTGGAAGACCAATGGCCTCAGCCATGCCTCCTCAACATCCGCGACCAGCCAAGCAATGACCACTGAGCCGCTGCGGGAAGCACCCAGGATCCCGAGCCAGAGCAGTGGGATGCCTAGGACTTCAGCCACAAACCCCTGACATCTGCATCCAGCCCAGTGTTGACGTAGCCACCACTGGAAGCCCTTTGGTCTCCCCTGCTGGAATGAGGGGAGGGCCATGGGCCTCAATCATGTTACCTCTGCTTCCCCCTCTTCCCACGTTATTTCCCTCCCTCTTTTCTCGTCCCCACCCACTGCTCCACAGGAACATCTTAGAATGAAGCACGGAGCTGGGGGAAGCCGAACCCAGCCACAACCAGGTCAAGAGCACACCAAAAACACCATTTTCAAGCAGGTAGTCCACCATAGCCACTGTAATTGCATGGCTGCCATAGAAGTGGCTAGTCTCTAGAGTAGCAGTCACAGCCACCATGTTGATTGCACGCCAGACTCTCAACTGCATTGACACAAGGAGAGCCACCAGTGGATAGCAAGAAAAAAAAAAAGAAAAAGAGCTCCTTTCTCTCCACAAAGCACACTCCAGAGTAATAGAAGAAGCATCTGATTTACAAAAATAGGTGAGGACTTGATCACACCTGTCTCAGTACCGGACAGATCTTCTAGGCAACAAACCAACAGAGGAACAGTGAGTCTATCAGATGAAGAGAAAAAAATCTATGGTTATTAGAGGGGGGAGGGGGAGGGAGAAGGGGGAAAGGAGAAAG